AAAAATATTTCTTAAATTACCTCCTTTTGTATGATCACTTGCAAAGATCTTTTGCAAAGATCACAATCACATAATATGTTAATTAAGCCTTATTCCCTCCCTTCTCACCTTCAACTTCTACTTCTAGGTGCCAGCAGAGGAATATTAGAGCTGGAAGAGGAAAAAATAATTCCTATCAAAGAGCCTGAGCAGATAAAGTCAGAATACAGGGAAGGAAGATGCACAGAGAAGAAAGAAGATCATGCTCTACACATGGACTATATACTTGTAAACCGTGGAGAAAGTTCACCCCTGACGCCAGAGGCCTGTGAAGCAAGAGAAAGCATATCTGAACCAGAGGAAATGCCCACAGGTTCTGAAGAAGCGAGGCTGCCAGAAACTCAGTCAACAAGCTTCCCAGACACATGTCAGCCTCCCTCCTTAGATGATAGAAAAGATCATTCTGCAGAGAGAATATCTTCCAAAGAGGACAAGAGCTCATCTCTTGAAAGCCCTGTGCAAGAGCAGAGTTGGATGGTCTTGGGCCATGGTGAGGTTAGTGATCGGTTGTCAGAAGCCAGGGACTCAGGGCCTGGAAGTTGTGGCAAGACTATGGAGCCATTCTCTGATCTCAGCTTGGGAAGGGGGCCCCAGATGGAGGTTCTGGGAGAAATGAAGCCTCTAGAATCCTTAGCACTAGAGGAAGCCTCTGGTCTGGGCAGCCAGTCATGGAAGACCAAGAGCCATGGCAGGACTGGCCTGGATGCAGTTATGTTGCAGATGGTCGCCCATGACAATGAGTGGGAAATGCTTTCACCACGGCCTTCTCAGAAACACACGATCTCTGAACTGGAAATAGAGGAGGAGACAGAGTTCCTCGAGCCCAGAACTGGGAAACCAAGACCAAATGGGTAAGCAAAAGGCTACATTTATTTATTTTTCCTGAAAACCATTTTATTTAGAAGCCGGAGGAATGGTGAAGGGTCATGGAATATGAAGAATGATGCCTGGGTGATAGGAGCTTTGCAAGGCACACCAGTAAAAGCAGCTGCAGATATCTATAACCATAATAATAATATGTGTACATTTTCAGCCAAAAAAGGCCCTTCAGTTTTCATCCAGAGTCTTACACCTACCTTCCTGACCCCCCACCCCACCTACTTCAACACCTACATACTCTTAAACAGGCTGTCAGGAGTGAGGGGCGTAGCACCTGCTATGTGCAAGGCACTTTGCCCACATTATTGCATTTAATCCTTGCATGCTGGTAGGGGAGGGGGGGGCAGGACTCAAATATCCAAAAGGTTTTGCCTAGAATTAAGGATAAATTGCCTAGAATTAAGTAACCAGCATGAACACTGTGGGATTTAAAGCTTTCTACCTCCAAAGCCCATACTTTCCTGGCTGACACAC